CATTTTATAAAAAATATTTTAAAACATTGCATTTTTTTTTTTAAAGTTTTGTTAATTATAAAAATATGAATTTTAGTTTATGATAAGAGCGAAAGTGCTATTGAAACATAAACCAATGTGACTTTTAACTCTTTTACTATTTCAATATAATGGACTCGAAAGAATTGATATATTATTTAGAATAAACGCCATTTTAGGATTTGTAGATATTTTATTCAAGTTCAATACTTTATTTTAAGAAAAATATAAAAAAAATGTAAATTTAATGCATTTGTTTTAATTATCGAACGAGAAAGAAATCAGTAATCCAATTATAGTGACCCAGTTATCGGACATATAAAAATGCGTGAAACGCTTTAAAAATTCAAGTGTCGTGGTTTAATTATTATCAAACACGAAGAATAAAAAATCTATTGAATCAAGTAAGAGTAGAGAAATACCGAAAGAAAATAAAAATAAAATCCTATTCTAAATTTTAAAAACTAAAATATTATTAAAACTTCGGAAATTTGTTGTTTTTGTTGTTATAAGATATGAAAAAATTTAGTGACTTCGGCATTACTTCTTTATATTAGATGTTTTAATGAAAATATTATTAGAATTATGTCATAGTTTGTTTATAGAAATTAGCTATTATTCGTTGTAATTGCTTAGATTCATGTTTACAAATTCATCCATTTGGGTTTTCACTTCTCAGTCTTATTTAGTTATTCTTTGTTTAATAGTGTCAACCTTTAGAGTCCTCATTATTCGTTTATTATAATATTTGAGATCATTATAAAAAATTAGGACCAATAGCACTTCAATTTTATGATACAAATAATTAATTTGCACATTAATCCCTAAGTTTCAACTTAACTATTTACTAGAAAATGCAATAAGAAAAGTACTCGTTCTCTAGCTTTTCCTACTGCAAAATGTCACAAAAATATAAACACAAGATTATCACAATTTTATTAAGCAGAATGAAAAAGTTTTATTTACAGATTTAGAGCAATATCTATATCGTTTTACGTTCAGGTCGTTACAATTAACCAGAATGACAACTATGTCGTATATTTGTTTTCATGACTACTTTCTACATTATTGTCATGTCTGATAACCCGGGAGGTGTCTGATAAAAGGTTCCTCTACAGTAAATTTTCGGTATTAAAAATTAATATTAACACGGTAACAAGTTAAGAGAACAATTTCAAAAATCCAAAACTTCAAACTTTTCACCATTCATTTGGACAGTAACATAAAAATTTCTTTTTTGGAATAATTGAACCGCCGGATCGCAGAATGATGATGAATAATAAAATAATTTAGTTTTTATTGTATGAAATAGGAAAAATAATTAACAATATTTTAAAATGGCTTCTTATCAGCAAAAACAGAGTTTGCAACTATTGATTCTGTGATTATTCGGTGTCTACTGGTCCTTGAAGTCCTGAAATTCCTGGAAATGTCCTGGAACTTGAAAAAATGTCCTGAAATGTCCTTAAATGTCCTGGATTTTGAACTTTTGTCCTTGAATTTTCCATATTTTGCTTTTCAATATTCAATAATTTAAAAATTTTACTCAAATTTAAAAAAATAATTTTTTGATCCATCAAAAAATAATTTCAATTTGTCATTTGATTAAAAAAACTGGTATCTACAATATTGATTTTTAACTTGTTTATAATAAAATAAACATTTTTGTTCAAGTAGGTTAGTTTAAATTATGTTAATCGTAATATGAAATAATATAACACAGGGTTGCCACAAAATTTTCATTTTGTTTTCCCTGATTTCCAGACAAAATTTTCACTTTTCCCCTGATCCTAAAGAACATTAATAACTTCTTTTTTAAATAAATATTTAATCATTTTTATTTTTCTATAGGAATTAAGATTCTCAAATTCAATAACTTATGAGAATATTTTATAATAAAACATGAAGAAATCGATTACTCCGAGTCTTCGACTCGGAGTCATGTTTTATTATAAATTTAAGATGACAAAGTAATAAAATCATTTTTTCATTTCATAAGAATATTGTAAACTAATAAATAATATTTGTTCGATTCAAGGAAGATAAATTAAATGAAACAATAAATTTTCATTTTTTTTTTTTTTTTTTTATTGTAAACTATAAATTCAAATTTTCAAAGATTTTAATTTTAACCCTTTTCAAAATTCAATTATTTCTAAAAATTCACGCTATAATATTTTTAATATTCAATTATAATTTAAAATTTTAAGTGAAATTCATTTTTTAATCAATTTTTATTAGAAAATTTCCCGAGAATTCAATTATTTAAATACAAAAATAAATAATTTATTCATTAATTGCATATTCTTTTAAAATTGAATTTTTAAGAAGAATTTTATCAAAAATTTTTAATATTAATTGAATTCTTTCGGCGAATTTAAAAAAAAAATTGTAAGAATAAATGCAATTTTCTATCATTTTAATTAAAATATTATGAAAATAATTGAAATTCAGCGATAAGTTTTGTTATTTATGAAAATAATTGAATTCTTGCAACGAATTTTATTAAAAATCTTTTTTAAACAATTAAATTCCTGTGAAAGAATTTTATTTGTAAAAATAATTGAATTCCAGAGAAAAATATTATTATATATGAAAATAGTTAATTTCTTGGGAAGAATTTTATTCAAATTTTTTTAAATAATTGCATTTTTCAGAATTTTTAAAAACTTTTTAAAAATAATTAAATTCTATTTAGAAATTTGATTAAAAAATTGAAAATAATTGAAATCTGACAAAAAGAATTTTAAAAAAATTCTTTTTTAAATAATTGAATTCCTGGGAAAATGTTTATTTTTGAAAAAAAAATTAAATTCGTGGGAAAAATTTTATTAAAATTTCTTAAATAATTGAATTGCTTAGAAGAATTTTATTTTTTACGAAAATAATTGAATTGCATCGAAGAGTTTTACAAACATTTTTGACAATAATTGTATTTCTAGAAAAAATGTTGTATTTTACGAAAATAATTGTATTCTATGACCGACTTTATTGTAATTTTTCAAATTTATAAAGCATTTTATCAAAATTTTTAAAAATAATTTAATTCTCAAGAAAGACAATAATTGATTTCTAGCGAAGAATTTTATTCAAATTCTTTTAAATAATTGAATTCACATAAAAAATGTATTATTTGTGAAAATAATTTAATTCTCTAAGAAGAAATGTATTGAAAACAATTTAATTGTATAGGAAAATTTTATTAAAATTGCAATTTAATGAAATAAATTTTGCAAAGAATTTTGTCAACATTTTTTTAAGTAATAGAATTATTAAAAGAATTTTATTTAAATTTTTGAAAATAATTGAAATTTTGCCAAGAATTTTATTAAATTTTTTAAAAATAATTGAATTTTGGAGAAGAATTTTATTATTTATAAAGATTATTGAAATTTTGACGAGAATTTGAAAAATTTTTTGAACATAATTGAATTTATGCGAAGTTATTTAAAAAGAAATTATTGTCAAAAATAGAAAAAATTGAAGGGTTTGTATTAGAATTCTTGGGAATGTCATAGTTTATAAGACAAACAAAAAAGGCACAAAAATTCAGAATTTTCCTATAATTCTAAAAATTTAATTTCTTCCAGTACTTTTAGTAAAAATCCCTGACTTTTCCCTGAATTCCTTGACTTCCCTGACTTGTGGCAACCCTGTTACACATATAAATGTTCTGGAAAAATAATAAATCTGTCCTGGAATGTCCTGAAAATGTCCTGGAATTTTAAGTCATATTTTCAGTAGACACCCTGCAAAAACAATACATTTCAAATAAAATGACCTTAAATTGATTTTTGCAACTATTTTAAAAAATTTTCAGTTAATTTCTGAATGGTGGCCACCTTGGGGACACTTTTTTTTAAAGCAAAATTCCAGCTGTTTTTCCAAAGTCGTCTAAATTTTATTTTTCTTAGTGAAATAAAAAATTTTTTTTGCTTAAAAGTTAGCTAAGAAGATACAGTTTCAGGGCATATATTATTAATTATGTTATATAATACCGTTTAGGAATTACAGTCATTCAAAAGATGGGTGGCCACCTTGGGGCTCCTTACCTTATGTTTTACAGATTTATAATCTAAAGGCAGACATAGGGTTAAAAGAAAAGGAAATTTAAATTAATAAAAGAATTAATTTTCGATAATAATTAAATTGTTGCGATGTTGTATGGATCTTCTTAAACCAATGAAAGTCTATGCAATTGACTTTGGTGTTAGTTGTTGAATTATCATATATCTTGAATATTTCTTGGTTAAATAGAGTGAGATAAATATAGAAAAAGTTTTACAATATAACTGTTAATTAAAAAAGTGTTTTATTAATCCCAAAAATATAATTTGAATATTTATTAAAAAATACCTTTTTTTGAATAAAATATATGTCGAATTTCTATATCTGTTAAATATTTCTATAAAAAGTCTCCTTTTACGTCGGCACTTTTTATATAAAAAGTTTCCTATCTTTTCTTTTCTCTGTTCTTTTCATTCTTTTACGAATTTGTCCTCAAGTACTGCTTGAAAAGAACCTGAAAGAGTAATAGAAGTTTTTTAAGAGGTAGTGTTTTTTTATGAGGCAAAAGTGTCTTTTTTTTAATATTAAGTTGAAAATTTTTAAAATCCTTCTCCAACCTTTTTATGAATGTAATTTGTTCAGAATAAATACTCTTTTAATTTATCATCATGGATGATGAAAGTTGAAAGTTTTTTTTGAAAAGTAACAACCACTTGGAAAAAGATGATTTTATTCACTCTCAGTCTCACGGGATATCTAAAGAGTGTGAGAGGGTAAAAGACCTGGAGCTACGGCATCCATATCTCACGTCGTGTATCGACAGCTGGCGACAGCTCGAATTTTCTTCACGCCATTTCTGAGATATATAAAATGTATAAAATGTGTCCTCGCACTCTTTAGACACGTGGTTAACTGCACTTTGCAGAAAGACCGACATCGTCATTGATCTGCTTGTACTTTTTTTTTCCTAATAGCAATCCTTCCACCGCCACCTGCCCGAGGACCGCCCATTACTCGTCCGGTTCCAGCAAAAACAAAGGTTCTCTCCATTTTAGATCGAGCAAGAGTCGCCATGGATCAAACCTATGGGTAAATTTTTTATCTTTTACCTTTTTATTGGCGTAATCTTAGTTTTAAAATATCAAGGCTCGAAGCAGTGAAATTCTTCAAAATACGGACTTTACGGAACAAAAATAAAAAATTCCGGACCATTTACGGACCAATTATTTACTGAGAAAAATATAACCAGTCCAAGTCAAATAAGAGAACATTTTAATAAAAAAATTTAAAAAAAAAAATTTTTTTTTTAATTCTTAATTTTTTTTTTTTATTAGAACATTTTACTTAAAACTAGAAATTAAATTTTTTATAACTATAAAACATGAAGATATCGATCACTCAGAGTCTTTGTCTCGGAGTAATCGCTTTCTTCATGTTTTAAAATAATTAAAGATGGCAAATTGATAAAATCATTATATTTTGTTACTGCAACTTCTTCAAAATTATTTTCAACATTTCAATTCAATTATTATTTTCTACAATTTTTAACTAAAATTCTTCTCTAAATCAATTATTTTTAATAATTTTCGAAAAAGTTCTTTGACAATTTTCAAATCCATTTGTTTACAATTCAATTTTACGAAATTTCAATTATTCGAAAATTCTTCAATTAAATATATATTTGAAAATAACAAATTCAGAAAATTTCAAAAAAAAATTTAATTAAAACTTTTGAAAAAAAATTAATTTCACAGAATTGTTAGTTAAAATTTTAATTTTCAAAGATTTTAATTTGAACCCTTTTCAGAATTAAATTATTTCTAAAAATTCATGCTATTATGCTTTTAATATTCAATTATTATTATTATTTATAAAATTTTAACTGAAATTCATTTTTAAATCAATTTTTGTTAAAAAATTCAACTAAAATTCAATTATTTAAATACAAAAATTAATAACTTATTGAATAATTGAATGTTTTATTAAATTGAATTCTCATGAAGAATCTTATCAACAAATTTGTAAATAACTCAATTCTTTTGACAAATTGTAATAAATTTTTTAAAAATAATTACATTTTTCGCGAAATTCTATTAAAATTGAATTTAAAATAGTTGAAATTATGTGATGAGTTTTATTATTTATGAATATAATGAAATTATTGGGAAAAAATTTATGAAAAATTTGTAAACAATTGAATTTCTTGTAAAATTTTAATTATTTTATGAATATAGTTAAATGTTTGCGCAGAATTTCATCATAATTTTTTTTAAATAATTGAATTCTTTTGGAAAATTTTATTAAAATAGTAAATATTGAAAATCATTGAATTGAGGAAAACTTTTGAAAATAATTGAAATTTCTGCAAAGAATTTTATCAAAATTCTTAAAAATAATTGAATTTATTCGAAGAATTTTATAAAAAAAATTTTAAATAATTGAATTCTTACAACGAATTGTATTAAAATTTTTAAAAATAATTGAATTCTTACAAAGAACTTTAATAATTTTTTTTTTAAATAACTGAATTCTAGCGAAGAATTTTATAAAAATCCTTGATTTTTTTCGAAAAATTTTATGAAAATGTGTTTGCAAATAATTAAATTACTGTGAAAAATTTATTATTTACAAAAATAATTGAATCTCTGTAAAAGTTTTTTATTAATGAAAATAATTGAATTATTGCGAAAAAATTTATAAAAAAGTTGCAAATAATTGAATTCTTGTAAAGAAATGTATCAATAAATTTGATAATAATTAAATTTCTTCGAAGAATTTTATTATTTATGAAAATCATTGAATTTGGGAAGAATTTTATTAAAATTTTCCATAATCTTAATTAAATTTTTTTTGAAGAATTTCTTTGAGTTTCTTTAAAATAATGGAATTTATTTAATAATTTTAATTGAAAGTTTTCAAAGTAATTAAATTTTATATGAACAATAATTTCTTTCAAGTTTTTAAAATAATCTTCTTTTTTAATAATTGAAATTAAACATTCAATTCTTGAATTTTATTAAAATGTTTAGAAAATAATTGCATTCTTTTGAAAAATTGCTCTAATTTATTAAATGCAATCGAATTTCTTTTAAAAAAAAAACTAACTTTTACGGACTTTAAACAAATTTACGGATCTAATTCGAGCCTTGAAATATTAATATCATTAAAGTTCTTAAGCTTTTTAATAATTCATAAAATTTTATGTTTATTTATTGTTGCATGTCAAATTAAAACTAACTATTAAAATATTTTTTAGTATTACATTTTATTTTAACTTAAAACAGTGAAGTAAATTTCACTAGTGTGTTCATATACTAAGAAATGTTTTGCACACCCACCATACTAAACACAGTGCATAAATAAATAACCTTTCTGAGACATATGCTGCACTGCACAGTGGTTCCAAATGCCGTAAATGTGGCCAAACGTTGAAAAAGTAATTAAATCTTTTTTTAAAATCCCTACTTGAAGGTTTACGTTCTCACTGAATACGAATCAAATATTAAATATTATTTTTAAAAAATATAAATAAAAAAATTGAAGTGGTATTATTAAAAAAAGTAAAGACTAAAACTAAAACTTAACCACTAAACTGTCAATTTAAATATCTGTCAAAGTATGGGCAACGGCCAGAAATAATTTTTGTAAAAGGTTTTACTTTTTATACAATTTTTTTTTCATTTTACGAAGCACGAGAAGAATCTGTCAAAGTATGGGCAACGGCTAAAATTAATTTTTCCAAGATTTTTTACTTTTCTATTAAGTTTTATACATTTTCCTGGCTATGGGGAAAGTTTAACAAAGTATGAACAAAGACTGAAATGGGTTTTTGCAAGATTTTTTAGCGTTTTTCAAAAAATTGTTTTTCTTAAAGTATGAGATGATTGTTACTGTTCAAATAAATTGTTTTCAGCAGTAGTAAAAATAAATTTTTGTTAATTTAATGAAGTTCATAATTTTTATTATCACTGTATTAAATTAACCTTTTTTAAAATTTTCGTTTTTTACAAACTACTTTCATTTCTTTAATAAACTGAGTTATTTATTCAATTAATTCATAGTACCTATATTCATATTTAAATTTTCTTTTTCATTAATTTTATGTTTTATTTAATATAACAAACAATCTTTTGGAATGAATTTTAATTAAACTTCTAATAATCTCTCATGCTTGAAATAATCACACCCTTAACTTTGATGACTTAAATCTAAAGCACACACACCTTAGACCTACGTTTACTGAGGCTCTTTTTCGAATATTACTTTGTAAATATCAGTTCTCCATTATTGACTATTTTTATAACCAAATAACTTCATTGCATATTTAATATTCCAGTCTGAGAATAATCTACTTTTATTTTAAATAAATTGTGAAAGTTTTAATTACTTTTTTAAAAAGTAACTTTATCTTAAGGAATATAATAAAAAGTTGGATATCTTCCTATTCTGGAAAGCCAAACAGGCCGTGGATCTTCAACTTATTGTGAGTACCAATGAGTTGGTAAACGAGTCTTTTGCCTGAGGATTCTCTAATATTAATGATTAATAAGAATTGAATAAAAAGGGATTTTTAATTTTTATAGACCCCTTTACTGTCGCCTATCTTCTATTCAGGGAAAAATCAGGGAAAGAAAAATTGGTCAGGAAAAAGTAAAGGATTTTTTTATTAAAGTACTGGAAAAAATTTAATTTTGCAGAAGTTACAAATAATTGCACAAATTTAATTATTTCCAAAAGTAATCAAATTCTTCGCCAGGGTTGCCACGCTTTTGCTCATTTCAAATTCCCTGACTTTTCCAGGTTTTCCAGGTTAAAAAACAAAATTTTTCCAGGTTTTTAAAACTACATTTATATTTTACAAATTTTTTAATTCTAACCTTTTTGAAATTAAACATAGAATTGTTATAAAACATGAAAATATCGATCACTCCGAGTCTTCGACTCGGAGCAATCGATATCTTATCATGTTTTATAATAATTAAAAATTACCGACTGATAAAATCATCATTTTATACCTATTATAAGAATATTGTTACTGTAACTTATTCAAAATTACTTTCATTATTTTAATTCAATTATTGTTTTCCACAATTTTTAACTAAAATTCTTCTTTATAAAGTGTAAATTAATTATTATTAATAATTTCTGAAAAATTTCTTTCAACATTTTCAAATCCTTTTGTTTACAATTAAATTTTACGAAATTTCGTCGATTATTCAGGTATTCGGAAATTCTTCAATCAAATATATATTAGAAAATAAAAACTTTAAATAACTTCAAAAAAATTCAATTCAACTTTTACAAAAAAATTAAATCTACACAATTCTAAGTTAAAAGTGTGAAAAATTCAAACATTCAAAGATTATAATTTGAAACATTTTCAAAACTCAATTATTATCTAAAGTTTTAACTGAAATTCATATTTCAATCAATTATTATTAGAAAATTCTACGAAAATTCAATTATTTAAATACAAAAAAAAATAATTTATTGAAAAATTGAATGTTTTTTAAAATTCAACTCTCATTTAAAGAATTTTATCAACAAATTTTTAAATAGGTAATTAAAATTCTTTTGACGAATTTTAATATTTATGAAAATAATTGAAATTTGACTATAAATTTTATTAAACTTTTGACCATAATTAAATTTCTGGTAAGAATTTTATTACTTTTGAAAATAATTGAATTCTTGAGAACAATTTTTTAATAATATTTCCTTTTAAATACCTAATTATTTTTTAAACAAAAATAAATAATTTATTGAATAATTGAATGTTTCTCAAAATTGAATTCTCATAAAGAATTTTATAAACAAATTTTTAAATAATTGAATTCTTTTGACGAATTTTAATAAAATTTCAAGTTTAATTACATTTTTCGAGGAATTCGATTAAAATTGTATAAAAAATAATTGAAATTCTGCTATGAGTTTTATTATCTATGAAAATAATAATTGAATCCCTGTAAAAAATTGTATTACATATTTATAAAAATAATTGAATCTCTGTAAACATAAATTGAATATTTTTGAATATAATAGAATTATTGCGAAGAAAAATTGTATATGCAACTCTTTTAAAATTGAATTAAGAAATTTGAATTAGGAAAATTGAATTAAAGAAAAATTAAATTTCAAGAATAAGCACAATAACTTTAGAAAACAATAATTTTCCGGGATTCCAATCAAAATTCCCTGACTTTTCAAGGTTTTTTCAAGGTTTATAAAATTCCCTGACAATTCCAGGTTTTCCAGGTTTCCAGGTTGCGTGGCACCCTGTTCGCATAAGTTCAATTGTGTTCAAAAATTTTAAAAATTCTCGTAAAAATTTCAATTATCTTTAAAAGTAATAAAATTCTTCTCCAAAATTCAATTATTTTCAAAAATTTTAATAAAATTCCTGGCAAGACTTCAATTATTTCCAAAATTTTTCCTCAATTCAATGATTTTCAATAAGCATTAAACATTAAATTATTTTCATAAATAATAAAATTTTTTACACAGATTCAATTATTTTCATAAATAATAGAACTCATCGTAGAGATGCAATTATTTTTAATATACAATTTTAATCGAATTACTCGAAAAATGTAATTATTTTTGAAAATTTTATTAAAATTTATCGAAAAAATTCAATTATGTTGATAAAATTCTTTATGAGATTTCAATTTTGAGAAACATTCATTTATTAAAAAAATTATTTATTTTTGTATTTAAATAATTGAATTGTCTTAGAATTTTGTCATAAAAATTAATTTGAAAATTAATTTCACTTAAAATTTTACATAATAATTGAATATTAAAAGCATTATAGCATGAATTTTCAAAAATAATTGAATTTTGAAAAGATTTCAAATCAAAATCTTTAAAAATTTGAATTTTTCATAGTTTTAACTGACAGTTTTGTAGGATTAATTTTTTTTGAAAAAGTTTAATTGAATTTCTTTTTTAATTTTCAAGGAACATTTAGAAAAATTATTCAAAATAATTGATAATTAAATTCATTTGAGAAATTTTATTAAAAGACAAGATTTTGAAAATATTTGTATTTCAGTGAAGAATTTTATTATTTGTGAAATGTAATTGAATTCATGCAAAAAAATTTTGAAATTAATTACATTTTTTGAGGAATTTATTTAAAATTGTATTAAAAATAATTGAATTTCTGTGAAAAATTTTGTTATTTATGAAAATAATTAAATTTTTTACAAGAATTTTATAAACATTGTTTTAAATAACTAATTTTTTTGAAATATAATTATTTATATTATAAATATAATTGAATTCTTGCGAAGGATTTTATTAAAATTTTTGTAAATAATTAAATTTTTTTTTTTGAAAAATTGTATGCTCACAATGGTTTTAAAAACGCTCAAAAAATAAAATAAAAAAATACAAATAAAAAAAATAAAATAAAAAAAAATAAATAAAAAAATAAAATTAAAATAAAAAAATAAAAATATAAATAATAAAAATAAATAAAATAAATAATAATAATAATAATAATAATAATAATAATAATAATAATAATAATATAAATAAATAATGTCAGATTCAGTTTGTCTCCCTACTATGTAGGGTATTAAAAGTTCCTCAAGAAAAATCTGTTTTTCGACTTTTGACCACGTTTTGGGTATTCGGAACCACTGTGAGACCTCTTTTACAATTCTTTCAATGCTTATACTTATACTGTCTCTTATTTTTCCATCTTGCAATGTTAATTGCATAAAGCATTACTAAAAACAGATTTGCAACTGACTTTAGTCACCAGACTCACTTTTCAAGTGCTTCTTCTTTAATGGTTTTCAAGCATTCTGCAGGATGAGCTGTGAGATACATTTTTCAATTTTCGTTCTGAAAAACAACACTATTCACGAATTTAACGATTGTGAGTGTTGTTTATGATATTTTGAATAGCCAAACTAAATAAAAATACTGAACTGTTTATTAAAAATTACAATTTTTAGAATTAGAATAACATCACATTCAATCAGAAGGTTCGCCACAAACTGAGTACAATTTAATACCAACATACCTACAAAAGTTTGAAAGTTTTACATTATTAATAAATTTTTTATTATAATAATAATTTAAGAACACTTGTAAAAAGTTATTTCTACGCAACTGTACATCAAAACAAAAATAATGTTAATAATGAATAATTATTAACTAACTGAATACCCTGGATCAATATTTTACCATAATTTACCATAATTTCCATAATAACTTTCAAATACATTGTAACTAAAAATTCTTATAGTTCAGTACTTACAGGTTTATAATTTCCACAAGGCAAACAATATAAATTATATTTGGCTTGAAGCATAATCGCTGGATTAATAAAGCTTTGTGTTTAAATCAATTTGCTTTTAATGACTTTACTATGCAAACTTTGATTAAAATAAAGTTCTTAATTTTACAATTTAAATTTAATTTTAATTAATTTCTCAATATTTAATAATAAAAGTATAGAATGTCTAATAATAATGTTCAAATCTAGCAGAATGGAATGATATTTTTTAAAAGCTTCGAGGAAATTGTACTGGTCGATCGAAGTTAAATTTTTACATAATTTTGTATATATACAAAATTGCTCTTTAATATCTACGAAAGAATATATTTTATGAGTGACGTGTATTGTGTTAAATATTCCTGAATAACAGTTCACACCGAGGTTCACACAAAACAAAATTGCGAGTATTAAATCAATAAACGTTAAGATAATAATAATTTTAAATTTTAATTTACACAAAACATGAAATTAAAAAAATAATTTTTAACTATTAAATTTAAAAGCAAACATTTGTCTAAAGTGGTAAGAAACGTTCCAAAACATCAAATAGAAAAATGTACTTAAAATAAAACAATTCTTTTTCAAGAACTGTCAAATTTATCTAGTGATGAAACATAATAGATTTTTTAAAACTTTGAAACATTTTTATATTAATTTAATTTTTTTTCAGTTTCTTGTAAGTTGATTTATATTTCGTAATATAACGGTTTTTTTTAAATTTAAGAAGAAAATATTTTAATTTATACAATTCAGAGAATTGCCAAGAATTAGAAATGTCAAAGTTGTAAAATGGAAACAATTCTCAAAAATTTTAGTAAAAAATCTTCAAGTGTAAATTTAAAATGAAAATTAATAAAAATTAGCATCTAAAAATTACATTAAAATACTATTTTAAAAAGAAAGTCTTAGAATTGTTTCATTCTAATTTTTTCAAATTCAATTATTTTCAACCACATAATTCCGAAAATTCAAATGCTTACAGAAAATAGTAACTTTTAAAAATTTGTATATTCATTCTTATCGCTTTAGAAAAAACAATCATGTTAAACATTTTTAATTAAAATTTTTTAAAAAATTATTTAATTTTTTTCAAATTATACGAAAATTATTTTAAAGAAATTTAACTAGTTCTTAGAATTGTTTTATTATAATTTTTTAAAATTTAATTATCTTGGAACAAAGTAAATTAAAATTTTCTAAAATTTACTTTAGACTTATTAAAATTTCGGAGAAATCATAATATGTTCATATTTATAGTTGAAATTCTTTAAAAATTTGATTAAATAATTGATTTAGAAATGAAGTTTAGTAAAAAAAAAAATTGTAGAAAATAATCGAATTTTAGAAGGGTTATGTTGTAATTTTTAGAAATTATTAAATTTCAAAAGGTTTTTAAACTAAAATTCTTTTAATGGAAAACAAATAAGATTTATTTTACAAAATTATTGAAATTTCGAATAATTGAAATTAGAAATCAGTGAAAGGTCAAGGGAAAAGAACTTTTGAAACAAAAAACATTTTAAATTAAAAATTTAATTAAAATTTTTTGAAAAAATAGTCAATGAATAAATAAATTTAAGTATATAGAACGGTAACTGATAAAATAATTTTATAAAATTACATTTTTATAAGCATTTAATATCGCTGAATACAAAAATAAGGTTAAAATTAGAAAATGCAAAATGGCAGATTAAATTACTGAAATTTCCCAAAATTGTCTAGTCTGAACAAAACTTGGTATTTTAATATTTTTGAGCTCTCTGAATTAAAATATGATAATTTGATTAAAAATTCAAAATGGCGGTTCAAATTTGGTTCAATCCACCATATTGGATCCGAAATTTTTAATCAAACCATCATATTTGAATTCATCGAACTCAAAAATATTAGAATTTCAAGTTTTGTTCAGAGCCAATCATTTTTAGAAAATTCAGACTGCCATATTGGATCTGCCATTTTTAATTTTCTAATTTCAACATTATTTTTGTGTTCGGCGATATTAAATGCGTATAAAGATGTACTTTTATGAAATTTCATTATAAAAATTATGAATTCATTATGAATTACTGGCCTAAATACTTAAATTTACCATTGTTTAAAAAAAAAATTAGGTTTTGACAAAGAAAATTACCAAATATATCGAAAATAGATTGGAATGTTCAATTGTGATTTTCGGCGAGCGAATATTTTTTTTAAACTATCAGCAGCTATTAAAAAACAAATTATTTCGACTAAAGTTAAATCAGCCTAAATATAAAATTTCCTTATTCTTAAAAAACATATATTAAAATAGAAATTATTTTTCCGCTAATAAATTATAACTGTAGTATATGACAGGTGGGTTTGTGTTTGAACGTTCTTAAGTGTTTTGCATATTTTTTGCATATTTCTATATCTCTTTTTTGTGTATTTTTTGTTTGTTTGCATTTTATTCTGTATTTCTGTTTTATTTATTTTATTCTTTATTTGGAATGATAGTTTTCGAATGTAGAGAGTTTTTTTCTCGGTAGATACGAGAAACCCACGAAACATGACTACGATTATGGATCTTCGACCAGTAGCCGATACTCCGATCGCCACTACAAATCCTCGACAGCGTAAGTATCAGTAAAATAATCTTCCCGTTCAGTTGATATTGTTTGGTGAAAGTTTTACTATTGTCAGAATATAAACACACACACACACACAGACACAGACATATGCACATAGATTGTTATTTTAAAGCACACGTACAGGCCGGAAACTCGGTCAACCGTTGTATTTTACTGTGAATATTACGACTAGGGAGGGCTAGTAGTTATTACCCCTATGGAGATTTTGTAGCCTTTGCCATTGTCTTTATTCTCTCTGAAACATAATACAAAATCTTCTATCTTATACCGTATGACTCTTCTCCTCAGCGCTGTCTAATGCAAAAAGCATCTGTCACGGAGTTTTATGTTTCGGCTTTTTACTGTCTAATTAAATTTCACAATTTATTTTTCTACTTATTATTCTTCTTGAAGCTTTCGCAGATTCTACTCTTAAATATAAAAGCTATACATTTTCAAAGTTTTATTCTCTTCAGGCTGCGTTCATATACCATGTGGACAGTTTTTGGGGGGAGGGGGTGTTAATCAAAAGAGGCGCATGATTATTCCCCAAATATCATTTAACCGAACTGTCATTTTAACGAATTGCATTTATTCGAACTGTTATTTTAACGAAATGTCACTTTTGCGAATTGACATTTTTACGAATTGTCACTTTTGTGAATCGCTATTTTTACGAATTGACACATTTGCGAATAGTCATTTTTGCGAAATATCATTTTTACGAATTGTCATTTTTACGAATCGTTATTGTTCCGAAACGTCATTTTTTCGAATTGTCATTTTTACGAATTGGCCCTTTTACGAAAAGTCATTTTTGCGAATTGTCACTTTTGCGAAAAGTCATTTTTTCGAATTGTGATTTTTACGAATTGTCATTTTTGTGAATCGACATTTTTACGAATTGTCACTTTTGCGAAAAGTCATTTTTGCGAAATATCATTTTTACGAATTGTCATTTATGCGAACTGTCATTATTTCGAATTGTAATTTTTACGAAATGTAACTGTTGCAACAGTGACATTTCGTAAAAATGACAATTCGAAAAAATGGCAGTTCGCAAAAATGACAATTCGAAAAAATGACTTTTCGCAAAAGTGACAATTCGTAAAAATGTCAATTCGCAAAAATGATATTTCGTAAAAATGACAATTCGAAAAAATGACATTTCGGAACAATAACTATTCGTAAAAATGACAATTCGTAAAAATGATATTTCGCAAAAATGACTATTCGCAAAAGTGACAATTCGTAAAAATGGCGATTCGCAAAAGTGACATTTCGTTAAAATAACAGTTCGGATAAATGCAATTCGGTAAAATGACATTTGGAGAATAATCATGCGCCTTCTCTTATATCTTATTTATCCTACCCTCTTAATTTGAATCACTTAAAAATCATGGTTTTAACTGACAATCAGTGACTGCCTCGTTGCTTCTGAATTAGTTTTAAAAATAACTAATTTTAAGTGAAAAAATAAATGATTTTCAGTACAAAAATAACTGTAAAATTAGTTAAACTGAACTAATTGAATCTGTCAAAAAAAAAAAAAAATTTACTGAAACATCAGTTATTTTTAACTAATTTTCAGTTAAAATATTACTATTTGAATTAGTGACTATCTTTTTGCTTCTAAATCAATTATTTTTAACTGATTCAAATTTAAAGAATACATTTAATTTTTGCACCACTGTTTTATTTAATTTTAAAAAGATTTGTTATCAAAAAAATGATTTTTAATAGTACCAGGCTTCAGATATTACATTTTCGACTATTTTCAAAAAATGCAACTTTTTTTTTACTTATTTTCAAAAATTGCGACTTTCTCGACTTCACTTCCAAATATTCTAACAAAATACCACATTTTTAATATAAAATGCAACTTATTTCAATTTTTATAGTGAAAAAAATAATTACAGACAAATCTTTAAAAATTATATTTTTGAATAATTTTTTTACGATAATAAAATTTGAAAAATGTAAGTATAACTTAAAAATTTTAGAATAATTGAAATTTGATTAAATTTTATTTGAAAATTATTTTTTTAAAGTATTTTATTAACATTTTTAAAAATCAACTTTTGAAGAATTTTTTGTTGCGAATTTTGCGAAAATAATTGAATTCTCAAAAATTTTAATTTACCATTCATTAAAATTTTTCAAGTGTAAAATTTAAAAATGAAAATTAACTTCAAAAAATTATACTAAAATACTTTTGAAAAATGTAATTCTTAGAATTTTTCATTCTAATTTTTTTTTAATTGCATTATTTTCAATATTTTCAATTACATATTTCTGAAAATTTAAATTTTCAAATTCAAATTGATTAGTTTTTTTTAAATTATACAAAAATTATTTTAAGAAATTCAATTATTTTCGAAAAATTATATTACAATATTGAAAAAAAAACTAATTCTTATAATTAAATTCTCGAAAAACTTTCAGAAAATTATTAAAAATAATTGATTTAGAGATGAAGTTTAGTTAATAATTGTAAAAAATAATTTAATTTTAAAAGGGTTATGTTGTAATTTTTAGAAATTATTAAATGTCAAAAGATTTTAAATCGAAATTTTTTGAATGGAAAAACAAATAATAAGTATTTAAATATTTATTTAACAAAATTATTTAAGTTTCAAATAAGTGAATTCAGAAATCAGTGAAAGGTCAGAGAAATGCAAAATAAAATTTTTGTGATAACACTGAATTAAATAAATGAGTTTTTTTTATTTTTTTTTTTATTAATCGACTAAAGATACTTTATTTGTGCCTTAAAATTGATCCGAGGCCAGTAATTCGAACTATTTACAGATCTACGTAAAGGCACTTCAAATTACATACAGTCAAAGAGCAGTAGAAACTAAAATAACATGGAAATTAATTTAAATTTAAATTAGGTGATAAATAAGAAGCGATTAGTCTTATTATATAAAAATAATTTGAATTCAAATAATCAGAGTTTACATTTTCCAAATGAAAAATTATTACAATTTTAAATTTATGCAATGAACAATCAATGAATTGACATATAATTTGTGCTTCATCACGGAGAGAATCGTAGGGAAAGATTTATTCTGAAATTTATGTATTTGTTCTAGATCAGTGAACATGAGAAAAGGTCAACAATAATTTTTTTTACTTTGCACAAAACTTTTCGAAACTTTACACAATTATTGCTGCAACTATAAAGAGGGATTAAAATTAATTTCAGAAAACTACAAATATTATTAAATTTGTAGTTTTTTTGAAATTAATCATAGTTATGATTAAGATAGAATTTAAAACAATATGACAAGGATTTTGAGATTTTTCGAAAAATTTCCATTTCATGGATACGTATTTTACCAATATGAATTATTTCACTTTTAGAAAACAATTAATTACCTCGACGTCTACGGCGCGGAAGTTCCTTTGTACAATTTTACAAGAGACAATGAGGCGGAGAATCAGGAGAACGATCCATTTATTAACAAGGGAAATTCCCTCTCCACCTAAATAAATCTTTTCTCCGAATAGACTCCAAATTTCTAGAAGTGACAAATCCTTGTCACTCGGATTTCCCGAAATCTCTCGATTGCTTCATAAAAATATGATTTTGTCCTCTTATTTTTTGAGTTCCTAAAAACCCTAAAAACTAATTTTAAGTTCGTAATTAGCGACCCCAAGAACATAACGATACCAAGTTTCATAAAAATCTATTCCCTTTTTTTGAAACACTTTTGGTCTAAACAGTTCAAACCTCTTCGACGGCCAAATGGTTAAAGTTTCCTGTAAGCTTACATGTTACTTGGGTCCATAATGATCTCTGGTACAATGGCATGTTGGGCACCTCCACAATTCCTCTTCTCCTGACTTGCTTACATATAGAGATAGTGACCTCATTTTATAACCAAAACAATAATATTTAAATTTTAAATAGATCTGAAATTTTTAACTTTTTCTCATATCCATCGTTCTGGAAGAAATTCAGAAATTTTTCCGGAATAAATTTTTTCCCTGCCGAACATGCTACTCTGTAAACAACTTTTCAAAGTAGAGAAAAATAGAAAATGTGGTCAACTTTTCTTTCACATTTCTTTACAAGCAAATGCTGCGGATCAATTTTTGCTTATTCGTTGCACACGTTAAACTTTCCCTCGTTAGCAGTCGCCTTATTAGTTTTTATCTCATTTAGCACACAATGTACTTATCACATTATTATTATCGGTTTCAATGCTTTTTCCATCTTCTGCATTACATTATATAAATCTTTTTATATTTAAATAAAAATAAAACTTTTGAATGCCCTACAGGGCTCGAACTAGGTCCTTAAATTTGTTTAAAGTCCGTAAAAGTCAGTTTTTTTTAAAAAAAAAAGGTTCGTAAAGTCCGTAATTTCATTGAAAAAGTAAGAAAAGTTCGTAAATTTAATGATATAGTTTGGAAAACTTTTAAGAAGTTACAAATAATTGCAAGAATTCAATTATTTTCAAAAGTAATCAAATTCTTTGCAAAATTTCAATTATTTTTAATACAACTTTAATAACATTTCATGCAAGAATTCAATTTTTTTTAAAAAATTCTTAATAACATTTTTCGAAAGAATAAAATTATTTTTTAAAATTATAATAAATCCTTCGAAACAATTTGATTGTTTTTATAAATATGAAAATTCATCGCAAGAATTAAATTATTTTTCATAAATAATAAAATTCTTCTCAGGAATTCAATTATTTTCCATACAATTATTAACGAATTCGATTGTATTCAATAAATTAAAGAAATTTCTCAAAAGAATTCAATTATTTTCTAAAAATTAAAAATTTAAATAAAATTCAAGAATTAAATGTTTAATTTCAATTATTAACCTTGAGAGGGCCGGGGTGGCCACTATAGTGGCCACCATTAATTTTCACTACTATTTTCATCGAATTGACTTTTTATTTAATTTTACTTAATAAAAAACTAGTAAAATTTTTAAAAATTTTCCGGCCCTCTAAAGGTTAAGAAAGAGGATTATTGTAAAAACTTGAAAGAAATTGTTCATAAAAAATTCAATTACTTTGAAAACTTTAAATTAAAATTATTAAAATTTAATAAAATTATTAATGAAACTTTATTATTTTAAAGAAACTCAAAGAAATTCTTCAAAAAAATTTAATTAAGATTAGGAAAAATTTTAATAAAATTCTTCCCAAATTCAATTATTTTCATAAATAATATAATTATTTGAAGAAATTCAATTATTATCAAATTTTTTTAAAAAATTCTTTGCAAGAATTCAATGAATTGCAAATTTTTCATAATTTTTTTTCGCAATAATTCAATTATTTTCATAAATAATATAAAAATTTTACAGAGATTCAATTATTTTCGTAAATATTAAAATTATTTTTATAAATTAAATTATTTTCATTAATAATAAAATTTTCACAGGAATTTAATTATTTTCATATAATTTTTCAAAAAAAAATAAATTATTTAAAATGATTTTTATAAAATTCTTCGCTAGAATTCAATTATTTAAAAAAAAATTAACAAAGTTCTTCGTAAGAATTCAATTATTTTTAAAAAGTTCAATAAAATTCTTTGCAAGAATTAAACTATTTTTAAAAAATTTTATAAAATTTTCGGCAAAAATTTCAATTATTTTCAAAAATTTTCTTGAATTCAATGATTTTCAATCTCTACTATTTTAATACAAATTTCCAAAAGAATTCAATTATTTAAAAAAATTTTAATGAAATTTGGCGCAAACATTTAATTATATTTATAAAATTTCAATAATTCAATTATTTCCATAAATAATAAAATTTTCGCAGGAATTTAATTATTTGCAAACACAATTTTCATAGAATTTTTCGAAAAAAATCAATTATTTAAAAAAAAAAAATAAAGTTCTTCGTAAGAATTCAATTATTTTTGAAAATTTTAGGAAAATTTGTTGGCGAGAATTCAATTATTCTCCTAAATAATAAAATTCTTCACAGGATTTCAATTTTTTTTAATACAATTTTAAGTAAATTTTTCGAAAAATGTAATTAATTTTAAAAAATTTATTAAAATTCTTGGAAATAAATAAATTAACAATTCTCAATTATTTTTAATAAGTTTTGTAAAAGTTCCTATAGAGAATTTTCAAATCCATTTATTTACACTTCAATTTTACAAAATTTTGACTATTCGTAAATTCTTCAATTAAATATTAAGAAAACAAAAACTTGAAATAATTTCAAAAAAAAAAATTCAATTAAACTTTTTCAAAATTAAATTATTTCTAAAATTCTCGGCAAAAATTTCAATTATTTTCAAAAATTTTTCTCAATTCAATGATTTTAATATCTAATATTTTAATAAAATTTTTCAAAAGAATTCAATTATTTTTAAAAAATGTTGATGAAGTCCTAAGTAAACATTAAATTATTTTCATAAATAATAAAAATTGTCCAGGAATTCGACTCTTTACAAATTGTTTATAAATTTCTTCGTAATAATTCAATTATTTTCATAAATAATAAAATTTTTTACACAATTTCAATTATTTTTAATTCAACTTTAATAGAATTTCTCGAAAAATGTAATTATTCCTAAAAAATTTATTACAATTTGTCAAAAGGATTCAATTTTATATAAGAATTTGTTGATAAAATTCTTTATGAGAATTCAATTTAATGTAACATTCAATTATTTAATAAGTTATTAATTTTTGTATTTAAATAATTGAATTCTAGTTGAATTTTTTAATAAATATTGATTTAAAAATGAATTTCAGTTAAAATTTTATAAATAATAATTGAATATTAAAAGCATAATAGCATTTTTTTATTATAATTTTTTTTTTAATATAATAATTTAAATATAATAATTTTATATAATAATTTTAATCGCTTTCTTCATGTTTTATAGTTATGAAAAATTGAATTTCTTGTTTTAAGTAAAATGTTCTCTTATTTGACTCGGACTGGTTATATTTTTGGTCCGTAAAGTCCGTAAAATTATTTTTAAATAATTTCACTGGTTCGAACCTTGATGCTCTATTTTCAAGTCAGTTAACTTTTTTTTCATAATCTTCAATAAATCGAAGCAATTTTTTTTATACTAAGATATATAATTTGGCACGACCTCTAACATTATAAAAATATATAGTATCAGATCTATAAAACTCGCCAAGAAGTTTCTTCTACAGTTATTCTGATAAAGGTAATGACAGAAATAGATTCTAGATAGCAAACAGTACTAATTCCTCAACATTAAAGATTTTATCTGCAATTTTATTATTATTATTATGAGGAAACGGATAGTACGTACTATTATCATAGGAATCACTTATCGTAAAATTGCGATAATCACTTTTTTTTATATTTTGATGTCCAAGATTATGAACTATAACATTTTTCAACCTTTTCTTATATTAATTCAGTTATTTGTATACTTGAAAGTATTTTTTTAATGAAACATTTTTAATTAGAGAATTAATGAAAATATTATATTTTTCAGCGATGATATGTATCAGTCTAGTGGAAGGTATGGATCTTACGATTATGAAGATGATTCAATACCTCACTCTTCTCACGATTATTACGAATCATCGGAATATCCAGGTAAGAAATTAGTTATTTTACACTTTAAATACGAAATTAGTTATAAATCATCATCATAACAATAATTTACATTTCATTCGAAAATATATTCCTTCAATCAAAATTCAATGAAAATTTTACGAAAAAATAATTAAAAAATAAAGTTTATAAAGTAAAAAAAAAAAGAAAATAAATTATTCAAAATGGAAAAAAGGCTGTTTTACAAAAGCACTGGTGTTAAATTATATCCTTGCTTTTGTAATCTATCAAAAAAATAAACTAAACTGGCTTGTCATTCGCGCATTAAATCTGATTACTTCTTTATAAATTAAAAAATTAGACAAAAATAACAAAATAAAATGTTGAAAAACAATTCTAAAACTGTTGAGAAACAAAATAAATAATTGAAAAACATCGAATTTTCTAAAAAAATTAAATTTCATCAAGTGAAGAAATTGAAATAACGTGTTTAATAATAATTTACTAAACTTTTCTAAAAAAAAACGCGCGTAAGACAAACCTAATATTGTTTGAAAATAATTTAAATCAAATATATAATAATAAAAATTGATCTCTGAAAAGTGTTAATATACCTATAATAAGGATGCTTGAAAATTACCGAAATGTAATATAAAGAAATATTGCTTGGGAAATTATTTCATTCAGATTCTTTACTATAGAATTTCTTAGCTTTTGTTGTTAATCATTTTCTTTTTAATTAGCTAAATTAACAAAAAATTGAATTTGAAATTAAGGCTTTGTACTCATCTACAAAAACCTACTATTTACTACTTTTTTTTAGATTCGTGATACTAAAACCATTTATTTCTACGTTTGACAATATGCATTACTTTCAATTCGTGAATAGTTGAAATAAAAAAATTTATTCTCAAAAATAACATTTTTAGAAATAATTCAAAAAATGTTGATACAATTCTTTCAAAACGATTCAATTATTTTCAATACCTTCTATTTTAATAAAAAATTTTCATAAAGAATTCAATCATTTAAAAAAATTTAAAAAAAAAATTATTTTCAAAAATAATAAATTTTTTACAAAAAGTCAATTATTTAACCCTTTTGTGCCCCCGGGAAACCTAGAGATTGGATTTTGTTGATACAATTGTTACTCAGGGGTTTCTCGGATAACTGATTACGAATCTGAAGTCAGTTTTTCAAAATTTTGAAAATTCAAATAATTGAGGATCCAATATGGCGGACATTTTTTTCAAAATTGCTCAAATTTGCATAAAATTCGTTGCAAAAATTCAATTATTTTCATAACAAATAAAACTCATCGTAGAATATCAATTATTTTTAAAACTTACAATTTCAAATAAATTTTTAAAAAATACAATTATTGAATTTTAGTTAAAATTTTAGATAATTTTTAATAATAATTGAATATTAAAAGCATTGTAGTATGGATTTTTAGAAAAAATTAAATTTTGAAAAAGTTGAATTGAATTTTTCTTTTGAAATTATTTCAAAAAATATTTTCTTAATATTTAATTGAAGAATTTCCGAATAGTCAAAATATCGTAAAATTGAATTGAAAATAAATGGATTTGAAAATTTTTTTGGAACTTTTGCAAAACTTATTAAAAATAATTAATAATTGTTAATTTATTTACTTCCAAGAATTTTAATTAATTTTTAAAATTAATTACATTTTTCGAAATATTTACTTAAAATTGTATTAAAAACAATTAAAATCCTATGAAGATTTTTATTATTTAGGAAAATAATTGTTAATTTATTTACTTCCAAGAATTTTAATACATTTTTTAAATTAATTACATTTTTCGAAAAGTTTACTTAAAATTGTATTAAAAACAATTGAAATCGTGTGAAGAATTTTATTATTTATGAAACTAATTGAATTTTTGCAAAGAATTTTATTACATTTTTTCAAATAATTAAAATCTTGTGAAGAATTTTATTATTTATGAATATAATTGAATTTTTACAACGAATTTTATTGAATTTCTTTTAAATGATTGAAATCTAGTGAAGAATTTTATTATTTATGAAAATAATTGAATTCTTGCAGCGAATTTTGTTAAATTTTTTTGAAAAATTTTATTATTTATGAAAATAATTTATTGAATTCTTGCAACGAATTTTTATTACATTTTTTTAAATAATTGAAATCCTGTAAAGAATTTTATTATTTACAAAAATAATTGAATTTTTGCAACGAATTTTATTACATTTTTTTTTTAAAAGAATTTAATTCTTTTGAGAAATTTTATTAGGTACATTAGTAGATTTCGAAAATATTTGAATTTCGTCGAAGAATTTAATTATTTGTGAAATGTAATTGAATTTTTGCAAAAAATGTTTCAAAATAATTATATTTTTCAAGGAATTCATTTAAAGTTATATTAAGAATAATTAAAATCCTATGAAAAGTTATATTATTTATGATAATAATTGAATTTGAAGTTGAAATTTTTTAAAATCCTAATTCGTATGGAGAAATAATAATGATTAAATTACAATAGGTAGGGTAGGGTGGGGCATTACTATTCTTGTTTGGATTTTTGAGTCTACAAAATTTATTTAAAAAAAAAAAAATAATGAGTAGAACCGTTTGAAAGCTTGACTTCTTAGCTACAATTTTGCCATGTATTATTTTGCTGTAGCTCAATTCTGTTGCGAACTACAGCGATTTTACGAAAAAAAATTTTTTTTGATGTCGAAGAAAACGAGGGGCGTAACTATTCTTTCAGCTATTACTGATATAATACTAAAAAATACAATAAATATTGTTTTTATTATCCAAATTAAATCAAATTTTTATCTGTAGTTATACAATATATTAAAAACTACTACCAACAGTAATAAAATTTATTATTGTATAAAATATATCAAGAAATAAGAAAACATAAAATATTAAAAAAAATTTTCTTATATGTCCATTTCTTCGTCGCTTAAGACACAATTGACGCAAGCCCAGTTTAACTCAATTCTTGAACATGTAACGTGTGCCTTTTCCAAACACGATACGCATGTTTGATAGGAAAGTCCTAAAGAAATGGATTTATTGCACACGCAGCACTTATCCTCCATACTCAAATCCAAATCACTCTCAGAAGATGAAGGTATTTTTTTTGAACGTCCACTTCCACGTGGTCGACCACGAGGTCGTCCCCGTCCAATTTCGCAGCTGATATTTGAACTGGGCCCAGCAATTGGGCTAATATTTCGCATACTTCCACGAGGTCGTCCACGAGGTCGTCCACTAGGTCGTCCTCGTCCAGTTCCACGATTTTGCGCCGTAATTTCCACTTCTTCGTTTAGAATTACTTCTACAATTTCAGGGTTGATATTTGAATTGCAGCCAGCAGTTGAATTTATATTTCGCCCACTTCCACGAGGTCGCCCACGAGGTCGCCCACAAGGTCGTCCACTAGGTCGTCCTCGTCCAGTTCCACGATTTTGCGCCGTAATTTCCACTTCTTCGTTTAGAATTACTTCTACAATTTCAGGGCTTATATTTGAATTGCAGCCAGCAGTTGAATTTATATTTCGCCCACTTCCACGAGGTCGCCCACGAGGTCGTCCTCGTCCAATTTCACGTTTTTTCGCTATAATTTCCGCTTCTTTTCTTCGAATTTCTCCCATAACTTCGGGGCTGGTTAATATTTGGGTTCTACCACGTCTGCGACCACGTGCAGTTTCTTTTCGAGCTGGTGCTTTCGGAAACGGCATGATGTTTTGAATAGTTTCGTCCAAATTTAGAGAGTCTAATTCGATTAAATTCGCTCCATCTATTTCTCTTTCTTGCAAATCGTCTTCAATATCACATTCTGCTGCAATGTCAGTCACATTTATTAGTGGTCGGTCAGTGACACTAGATGGTGCAAAATCGCTATCAAAGAAAATGTTTGAATTTGGCGGATAGATACCGGTGCAGCGAAACCCTTCTTCGATATTTGAATGTGTGAATGCTCGAATAAATGGTTCTTTTATAATTTCTGCTAAGTTGTGGATGGTAATGTTTGTAACATAGCGTCGCATCCAATCATCGCAAGCTACAGTAATGGCCTTTTTAAATGGTCCAAAAACACTGCGATCTAGTGGTTGCATCTTGTGCGTGCAATGTGGTGGAAATGACACTACATGAATCCCATTGTCGATGCAAAACTGCATCGCTTCGCTTGAAATGTGCGATTCGTGATTGTCGAACAATAACAGAGTTGGGTTCTGCGGAGATGAATGAGCAGTTTTCTGGAAATGATTCAAAAAATCGAGAAATGTGGATTTTGTCATCCATCCAGAACCATTTGCAGCTGAGCGAGAACCATTCGGTGCATTACGCAAAAATTCCGGCTTATTGCGAACACGTGGAAAAATGAAAAATGGCGGTGTCTTATTTCCCGTAGCTGATACTGCAACCGCAATTGTAATTGAAGTGCCACGTTCGCCTGATGTCATTTTGCTAACTTGTTTGGCGCCTCGCTGTGCCACAACACGACCAGGCTGATGAACTGTGGATAAGCCAGTCTCATCCATATTCCATATATTTCCAGGATCGAACCGCACCTCATCCATCACTTTATTTAAGTTGAGAAAAAATGAATCAACATTGTGTCGATTAAATGCCGATGCTCTAGCTAAGCTTGTGGATTGTGGTTTTCTAAGTGATAAATTAGGATGACGTTTCATGAAACTTTGCAACCAATCTTTGCCGGCCATCTTATTTATTTTCCAACTTTCTGGCATGAAGATGTTAAGTTTTTTGGCCAAATCGTATGCAAGCGAACGGACATTTCCAGTTGTCAGACCGTAAAATATTTCAGAAGACTTTAGTAAGTGAACCATTAATGCATTTTCTTGCTCATTTGTGAAAACCTTTAAAAAAAGGTCATTTGAAAATAAAATAATGAATCAGTTGTTGCCAAAATAAAAAGTAATAGAACGTTCATACTAACCTGTCTAAATTTATTTATTTCAACATTTTCTTTTTTCGCTGCAATACGCAGTGTTTCGTAGTTTAATTCAAAATTTTTCGACGCTTTATTTATACTCATTCCTTCCTTTATCTCAGACAATGCTTCTTGCAGAACTGGTGATAAAACTCTTGGTCGTTTGCTTACACAAGTTGGAATATTGATGCAATGAAAACGTAAAGTCCCATAGCATAAACCAAATTCTTTTGCTGTTTCTTTTATTGTTTTACCTTTTGATACTTCCTTAATTGCTTTTTCCAAATCTTCTTTGTTAATTGGAGGATTTTTTCTTTTCCAATGTCTTACCATTCTAACCTAAAAACAAACACACAAAAAACATACACTGTTTTGTAGTTTTCGCTGTCGTCAGTGAAAGAATAGTTACGCCCCACCGGACCATTTTTTGAAAAAACACTTGTAAAATTTTTGAACAATAGAATATCGAAAATCCATTATGATATTCGTGTTCAGCACTAAATTTGACTTTAGAAAACACTTACCCGAAATTTTTTCCCACCGTTTATCACTATTAACAATGGCAGACTAAATGAGTGAAAACAAGTAAGCGAGTGTGTCAAAATCACATTTGGGTACCTAACTCCTATGATAGATGGCGCCAGAAGCTCAAATTTGGCATACAATGTTTATTTCACATGACAAGTATACACTGTAAAAAAAACTTTAATCGGATGAATAGTTTTCTCTCCAGGACTAAAGAATAGTTACGCCCCGCGAATAGTAATGCCCCACCCTACCCTAAAATTACAGTAAATTTGTAATTTTTAAAAATTGTTAAATTTCAAAAAGGCTTTACATTGAAAGGATTAAAAATATTTTATTTCTTATGCAAAATAAATAGGTATTTAAATATTTGTTTAAAAATGATTATTCTATTTTTGAATGTAATTTAATTTAAAGTAAAAAATTATGAACAAATTTAGTCAAATTTAATTTTTCGATAGTTACATTTTTACTACTTTTTCAGTCTTAAAGCCACTTTTTGAAATTTTTTTTTTTTTACTTTTTTAAAATTAATTATTGAGTACGAAGCCTTTTTAATTGTAAATTAATTTCTTGGAATTTTTAATGTTTTTTTACTAGATCTGATTTATTCTTATTTAATTTAAAAACCTTGTGCTTTAATACATAATTAATTTTTGTTTTTGGTTTGATTTTTAAATTATGTTACAATCGTAATTGTTTGCTAAAAAGTTATAAATTTCATAAAAAAATTACTAGTTCTATAAAAATCCAACTTTCGGCATTTATTGTAAAGATAAATACGAATAGTATTCAAGGCAAAAAATTCTTTATATATTAATTTCAATAATGCACAAGCGTCCTATTTAATATAGATGTAATTTTTATTTTAAAACCTTTCTTCGGTATTGTCTTTAAATAAAAAATTATTAATAAAAATACCTCAATCCATGAAATTCGCAGAGGATTCTTCAAGCCGCGCTTGGAAAAGTTACAAGACTACAACAACATCAGGCTCGGCCTCGCGCTACCGCACAGCTCCGTATACACGACCCTCCAAGTAAACATTTCCTTTTGACAAAATTCAAAAATTTTTTGAAAATCCCTTAATAACTAATTTTTAACTGTTTCATGCATTTGCGTTGTAAAAAAAACTTTATACATTCTTTTACTTGCAAAAGTTTTTAAACTGAAAAGAAAACCCAGGTAACTTACAACCCTTATTTTCTATCCACGTGTAACTTTAAAAACTATTTTATGTTTACAATTCTTTATTTCACTTCCATTTTTTTTAATTGTCATTATTTAAAAACTTTTGTTTTTTATACTTTTTTTGCTGTGTATTTAAATGTGTTTTAATTTTAAAATCCTTCAGGGAATTTTTTTTTCTCTATTATGAAACAATTTTCATTTAAGATGTTTCTTAAAATATTACTTTTTTTTGGTTTGAATTAGAATTTTGTTCAATATTATTCGTCAGGGCATTTGATGAACTATGAAAGTAGCAAATCACTGAAATTTTTTTATAAATAAAAAAATGATTAAAAAAATTAATTAAAACTTTTAGAATTTTTTTGTTAATTTTGTAGAAAAATACGTAATGCTTACAAGAAAATAAAATTTTGCTTTCTTATTTCTATTTAGTTGCCGTGATATTTTGACCCTTAAAAAAATATAACCGATTTTTTTATCAACCTCAATATTAAAATTAATATCAACAGACTCAATGTTTGTTTATTTTATTTTCATTTATAATTTTGTTTAAATTTGTATTTATTTATTTAATTTTTTTACTTTAACCAAAAAATGTTAAATAAATGAAATGCATTATTTAAAATTTTAAAAAAACAAAATTAATTTTTTTTAAAATAATTTTATGAATTAAACGATTTGAAAATTATTCATAAATCGTCATAGTGACGTCACGTGCCCTGAGTTCTTGATTTATTCACTTTTTCTTAAATTTAACTAAATAATTTTTTGAATGGAAGAAATGAAATTTTTCTAAAAAAAAATTAAAATCGCACTTAATTATAACCACCCACTTAAAAATCCGATTTTTGAAAACCTATGAAAGTATAAAATCAATTTTTAAACTAAAATTACGCGTACATCGTCCCACCTTCCTTTTCCCCTTGATCCTTTTTTTCTTTTTTTTTTTGCCCCCTCAATATATTTTCAGACCTCAGACATCGTTCAACTCTATGAAACCAATGTTCGGAATGGATAAATCGTCAAGTGGAATCGAAAATATGTAACGTGAATACATATAAAAATGTAATAAAAAGAAACGCGCATCAGCATTTATCTCAAAAAGGACGCAATCCTTACAACTCTTTAAAAAAACTGCTTTATTTCATTAAAAAAAAAAAAAAATTAAGTAAAAATCCTCAAATTTTCCACAAAAAAACGAAAACAAATAAATAAGAAAATGTGAATCTAAACAATAATGTTATATATTCAAATAATGGTAAATAATACATTTTATCCCTATCTATCGACGTTATATTAATTAAATCAAAAAAATAATGAAATAAATGTCTGAAAACAATATATACATAAAATTAATACAAAAAATAATAAAATTGCATAATCAACTGTTGCAATTAATAAGCATCTTTAAAATCGTTGAAAATAACAAACAAACAAACAAACAAAAAACCGAAAATTATTGTAATGTTGAGCGTAATACAGTTAAACAATAATCATTTATTGCATTTCATCATCAAATAATGTAATCTTCAGTGTATACTAGGTACATTTTGAAAAATATGTAAAACGATATGTGTAATTTTTTTCTTTTTCTTTATAAGATTTTCCTACTAAATTGAAAATTATATTACGTATTACAATTACTCATAATAATTAAAATAAAGTGGGAAATTTAATAATAATAATAAAAATAATAATATTATCAATAATATGCGTAATTGTCAAAAGGACACCCAAATCGATGTAAGTGATAAAAATTTTTTATGACCAATTTTTTATTCAGTAATTTAAAGCTAGACTCCTTAACTATTTTGTAATTTTGTTCTTTACGTATTTTCAACTAATTATTAACTAATTTTTTTTAATTAATAATTTGGCAAAAAAGAAATAAATTCTTTGTCTAAAAATTAATAATAATAATAACAATAATAATTATTATTAAAAAAAACGGTAATGGTAATAATAGTAGTAAAAATAATATTAATTCATTGTTAACATTTATTAAGCCACAGAATTAACTTAAAAATATTTTAAATATTGATTAGTGAAAATTAATCAAATTCTTTATTTGTAATATTGAAAAAATGTTCAATATGAGGATATTGAAAAAATATCTCAAATTGTCAAAAAGGGCTTTTTTGAAAAAAGATTGGGTGTCCTTTTAAGTAAGATAAAGTATCATTAACAAAATTATTAATTCAATATTCAATCAATCAATGTATTTGTCATAATAATAAAGAGAAATAAACATAAGAATTAAAAAAATACCTCTTTCTTAAATGCTCTTTTAATTTTATTCTTATTTACAGGGTTGCCACAAAAATTAAATTTGTTTTTCTCTGATTTCGAGACAAAATTTTAACTTTTTCCCTGACCCTAAAGAATATTCTGATTCAATCTAAAAACTATTTTAAAAATAAAATTAAATTATTTACAAAAATTTTAATAAAATCGTTTACAATAATTCAATTATTTTTACAAGTGTAATAACATATTTCACATGAATTCAATTGTTTTAAGAAATGTAATAAAATTCTTCGCAAGAATTCAATTATTTTCATAAATAATAAAATCTTTCATACGGTATTTCAATTATTTTTAATACAATTTTAAATAAATTCCTCGAAAAATGTAATTATTTTCAAACATTTTTTGCAAGAATTTAATTACATTTCACAAAAAATAATGAAATTCTTCGCTGAAATTCAAATATTTTCAAAATCTATTATTTTAATAAAACTTCTCACAAGATTTCAATTATTTTAAAAAAATGTAATAAAATTCTTTGTAAGAATTCAATTATTTTCATAAATATTAAAATTCTGCATAGGATTTCAATTATTTAAAAAAATGTATTAAAAAATCGTTGCATGAATTCAATAAATTATTTTCATAAATAATAAAATTCTTCACTAGATTTCAATTATTTAAAAGAAATTCAATAAAATTCGTTGTAGAAATTCAATTATATCCATAAATAATAAAATTTCTTTAAAAAATTATATAAAATTTGCTGCAAGAATTCAATTATTTTCACAAATAATAATATTCTTCACAGGATTTCAATTATTTAAAAAAAAAATTAATAAAATTTGTTGCAAGAATTCAATTATTTTCACAAATAATAAAATTCTTCACAAGATTTAAATTATTTAAAAAAAACTGTAATAAAAATTCGTTGCAAGAATTGAATTATTCTCTTAAATAATAAAATTCTTTACATGATTTCAATTGTTTTTTATACAATTTTAAGTTCTCTAATCTATTTGTTTACAAATCAATTTTACAAAATTTCGATTATTCATTTAAATATTTAAAAAATACAAACTGTAGAAACAATTTTTTTAAAAAATTCAATTAAACTTTTAAAAACAAAATTAATTCTATTCAGTTAAAAGTATGAAAAATTCAAATTTTATAATGATTTTGATTTAAAACCTTTTCAAAATTATTCAAATACAAAAATTAGTAACTTATTGAATAACTGAATATTTCATTAAATTGAATTCTCATAAAGAATTTTATCAACATAATTGAATTTTTTTGACGAATTTTATTGAAATTTTCAAGAATAATTACATTTTTCGAGGAATTCGATTAAAATTGTATATTAAAAATAATTAAAATTCTATGATTAGTTTTATTATTTATATTATATTATTTTTATATTATTCATCAAAATTATTGAATCTCTGTAGAAAATTGTATTATTTATGAAAATAATTGAATGAATGCGAAGAAATTTATAAAAAAAAATTTGTAAATAGCTCAATTCTTGTGAAATTTTAATTATTTATGAAAATAATTTAAAGCTTGCTTAGAATTTTATCAATTTTTTTTTTAAATAATTGAATTCTTTTAAAAAATTCTATTAAAATAGTATAGATATTGAAAATCATTGAATTGAGGAAAACTTTTTGAAAATAATTGAAGTCTTGACAGGAATTTGATTAAAAATTTTGAAGAAAAATTGAATTTCGGAGAAGAATTTTATTATTTTTAAAGATAATTTTAGCGAAGAATTTTATTACTTTTGAAAATAGTTGAATTTCTGAAATTATTTGTAACTTCTCCAAAATTCAATTTTTTCCAGTACTTTAATAAAAAAAATCCCTGACTTTTCCCTGAATTCCCTGATCTGTGGCAACCCTGATTGATTCATTAATAGTAATTCTAGGTTTATATTAAAAACTTTCTTTATTAATTACATTTTCTATCAATTACTTCATTATTTAATTTTCATTTTTTTCTAAATTTTCACTTCAGATTCATGAAAATCTGATATCATGAAAAAAATATTTTTATTACCTACTCTGCCATACAATGTAAAAAAATATAAATTTCATTTGTTTTTAGATTGATTTTATTTTAAAATCATTTTAAAAAAAGTACATTCATTAAACTTATTTATATATTCATATTTTTAATAATCATTTTTATCCAAATATTTCATAAATAAAACGAATTTAAATTATAATATATGTATTTTAATTTTAAATGAATGAATAATAAATAATGTAAATTGTACATGTATTAAATAAATGAAAAATTTACGAATAAAAAAATAATCAACCAAAAACATAAATAAGAGACAAATAATAAAAACGTGTAAAATATGCTTTAATATTTCTTTTATAAAAAATAAAATTGCTTTGAGAATATTTAATTAATTTAATTTTAAATTCTAAATTTATCCATATTATTAATAATTTGTTAATATTACGTTAATTTTTAATAATCCGCGTTATATAAAGTTTGCATTTCCTTTAGAAATTTTGAAAGTGTTAGAAAATTTTTAAACTTTCTTGAGGAATTAAAAAAAGTTAATAAGTAAAAGTAAATAATAATTGTACTATTATTTGTATTGAAAGGTGTGTAAAAATAAATTTTCTGCTTGAGAAATAAATCCGCAGAATTTTTAATAAAAATTAAATAAATCGTATTAAAAAAATGATTGCTGATAAATTATTAAAGCTCTCTGGAAAATGAAAATTTTCAAATCCCTCTTTTACAGTTTCATGGACCATTTTTTTCAGATAGAGTTTTTTATCTTGCCTGACGACCAACTGAAACCACTTGTAATGGAGGAAATTAAAAATATTAAAAATAACTATAAAATTATTATTAAACTATCAACTGTTTAAATGTTCAACATTAAACATAAAGATTAAAATATTTTTTATTTCTAAATTTAGTTATATTCTAAGCTCAATTAAGTTCTTTGATTACAATTAAAGTATATTACTAAAATAATACTTATGTTCACTAAATTAAACAAAGATTTAGTATTAAAATGTGGACTATAAATTCAGATATAAAATAAAAAAATAAAATTCATAAAATACTTTTCATGTTTCCTACTGAAATATTTTGTTAATCAAATTTGTTTCCTTTCATTTTAATTTATAATCTTTTTAGGTCATACCGTTCTCTAGTTTGAGGAGCACTTTTTTTTAATTCAACATGAAAAATAATAAACGGAGGATTTCTCTTTTAGGTGTATAATTTTTTTTTTATGAAAATAAATACAAACCAGATTTAATATTAATTTTTATTTGTTCTTTTAATTTATGAATGAATATTTAAAAATATTTAAATATTCTTTTAAATGAATGCATATAAAATTTATATAATAAATGATTAAAATTTAAAAAAAAAGTGGTGAAAAAGTAAGTAAAAATAACAATTTTTGTAGGACGTATTTTTTTAATCAATTTTTTTTTTGACAAATAATAAAAGCTAGAGAGATTTCTCAAGAATCAGAGGAAAGCTTATTAAATTTCGCGTAAAGTATCGTTTATAGTGTGTGTATTTTTTCTATATTTCTTTAGTTCCTTCTATGTTGAAAATGAGGTCAGAGTTGGTTTTTCTCTAGCAACATAAAAATTGTGATCAATTTTGATTTTTTTTCGCGAAATTATTATCCTTTTTTTGAGTTTATTTTTTAATTATAGTACACAGGCCGATGAAGTTTTGACGAATTTCAGAACCAAGATCTGGTCAATAGTTTTTCCAAGGTTTCTGAAGTGATCTCATCGCAAAAACATTTTTAAATTTCAAAATATCTTTATATTTAGCTTTTATCTGAAATATCGTCCTTTGAAGTTTTTGAAATTGGTGAATTTGTCAATATTTGTAAACTGACTTCAGATAAAGCTTCAAAAATAAAGAATAAAATAATTACAAACTCGTAATATTTAAGTGTTATTTATTATTTTAGATTTGTCAATATTTACGTATAAAAATTCAGAATTGCAAAATTTAAAATGGCGGAATCAATATGGCGGGAGAATTTATAAAAATCCAACGAATTCGTTTGAAACTTATTACTCGAGGATTTTCGGAATCTCTCATTACGCATCTGATGTCAGATTTTCAAAATTCCAAATTGTGGACATTTTTTATAAATCTGCTCAAAATCGATTGAAACTTATTATTCGCAGGTTTTTCGGATCACCTTTTTGAATTTTTTAAATCTGACTTTAGATTCATAATCAGAGACCCCGAAAACCCCTGAGCAACAAGTTTCAACAAAATCCAATCGCTGGTATCACCATTTTGAATTTTGAAAATCTAACT